CATTGTGTCATGAAGGTAGCTTATGGAGCGGGCGTTCAAGGAGAATACGCAGGAAGGAAGAAGTTCATGTGCTCTTGCCATCAAAGTTAACTCATCGCAGCAAATGTTGCCTTGAAAAGAAACCGGTTTTTTACTTTCGTTTCTGCAGATGAAGAAGAGGAGCATCTTCGAAAAATTGAAGAACTTGAAGAAACTGCGGCCAAAAAAGACGCCGAACTTACGCAACTTCGCTCAGACTTCACCCAATTAAAGGAGTCTGCGCAAACAAGTCAGGTAAGTTTCGGGAGGCTTGATGGGGTTGTTCCGCCCGAAAGTGGTACAATTCTCAAACAAGAGGTAGATTTTGTCTACGGAATGGTAGGGATCTCGTAAGTCAGTTAGAACAAGGAGGTACAAAACCACAGTCGACTTATTCAGCAGCGTCTTTTTGGAAATTCAAGGGGTTACCTGTGAGATGAGAAAATTAAATTTTCCTGAGTGTCGAGAAAGAAAGAAAAGCTTCCTTATTCTTGAATTGAAGCTATAGCGTCTCTTAGGAATGCAGTTTTTAACTAAAGGTTTATGCAGAACCGTGCAATAAAGCTCGGAACTTTGGAAGCAAAATACCCTTATACATTTTTTGGAGTACCAGAAGGTTGAGGGAGCATTTTGTGTTGTCTGAGAATTCGGTTTTGGATATATCTCTGAAATGATATTTGTTATTGTAGCTTGTGTGCCAGGTGTTGTGGTATAATTCCAGACTGACGTGACCAATTTCCTCTACTTGTTATACAGAAGTGATATACATTTAACGAGTTATTTTCCTTCCTGTTAGAATTCTGCGTGCATTGGAGATCAAAATGAAATCGAATCGCTCAGAAAAGAATGCGACGCTGCAAAGAAGAAGGGCAAAGATACAATTGACAAGTATTTAGCAGAGTGTAACAGACTCAAAGCCATAGTGAATGAACAACAAGGTACAGTTACTGGGTTAGAATACATTTTAAAAGGGTGCACTAAAACGAGACCTTAGAACCTAGGTGAATATCACAAGTAAGTAACGAGAGTTCAACGTTAAAAAACAAGTAGATCACTTGATGCGCAAGAATTTTAGTGTTGTGTCACGCATAAGCTCAGAAATTCAACCTTGCTTTTTCACTGGACGAAAAACGCTATCACACTGAAAATTTGTTAAAAGATAAGCCTTCAGCTGTTGTAAGAACTAACTAAACTAAAATCTCAAAAGGATCGGTAATTCCTTACTTTTCAATTTTGATGACGTCGTGTGTAAACCAAGAATACTAAAATGTTCCATTGATTAGGTACGTAAAAATTCTATTAATTCCGAATGGTAAGTGATTAGTCTGGCTATCACCATGACACTAAAAGTCGACATACGTAAGCGCAATACCGTGCTTCTTAATGGATGCCCTACTTTGCGTGCGTTTGTCGGCGAGCACTTATACTCACGCCGAAGGAAAGAAGGGAGGGGGGGAGGGAGGGGGAAGAGCACTTGACGCATTAATTGAAATACGAAGTGGCTGATATTTCTCTCCATGTTCAATTTCGCAGTAATTATCCACAAGGCGCAAGATGTAAAGAAAATTGAAGAAGCGATGGAAACTTTGCGAATCGAGTTAGCACAAAAGAACATGCAGATTCAGTCATTACAGTATGACTTGTACAAACTGAAAGAAAAATACCACAATGAGACCAAGTCACTAAGGAGTGAAGTGGAACGGGGAAGGGAAAAAGTTGGATCTCTGAAAGTGGAGATAAGGAGGTTGAAGGAACCTGAGACAGATGACACCATTAGTATAATGAGGGAAGCTCTTATTACAATACATCGTAACTTACTCACGAGCTTTCAAAGGTACGCTCGTTTTGGGAGCCATAGTGAGCAGAACCGTTAGAGAGCGTCTAGCACGGAATTCTTAGGTCTGAGGTTTGTTTCCTCATTCCCGCTCAGAATCTTTTCTTCGTCCCATTCCGGTGACATCTTTAT